GATAGCTGATGCAGCAGATAGCTGATGTAGCAGATAGCTGATGTAGCGGATAGCTGATGTAGCAGATAGCTGATGTAGCAGATAGCAGTGTTAGCCCTACCATTATACAAGCAGGGTGCCCCACCCTGTTAACAGAACTGAGTGCACTGCCTACCGAACCGAACGACGCACCCCACCACCCCCCCAAACGGTGTAACGCTAAGCTAGCAATGCGCAATACAGGCGCTTCAGCTAAAAAGCTAAAGGCTCCCCCCCCCACACGCTCACAAACTGCCAGTGTGCACAGCTCAGGTATGTTTCTCCCTCGTTGACAAAAATAACGGTCGTGATGAGCGCCCCACCTTGGCAAGTTATCTAGAGGAAACACTAGATGGCTAATGTAAGTTAGCTGGACCAGATTACATCCATCCATTTATTCATTCATTTTTTATCTTTACCCACTTCTTCCTTTTCGGGTCAAGGAGGTCACTGGTGCCCATATCCAGCAGTCACTGTGAGAGAGGCGGGGGACACCCTGGACAGGTCTCCAGTCCATCAGGGACACAAAGAGACAATCAACCATTCACTCTCTCACTCACACCTAGAGACAATTTAGAGTTACCAATCAGCCCAACATGCATGTTTATGGTCTGTGGGAGGAAACCAGAGCACCTGGAGAAGAAGAACATGTAAACTCCACCCAGAAAGGCCCTCGGCCGGGATTCGATTCGGCAACCTTCTTACTGAGAGGCAACAGCTCTACTAAGTGCTTCATTGTGCTGCTGAACAGATTACCCAGCTTGTTTAATATAAACAGTGATTAGCTAGCTATCTTAACATCTAGGAAGATCTAATCAATGGATATCTAAAGTTAATGGTTTTTAATGGTTTTAAACTCACCCAGCAGCTGTCTAAATCCTAATGAAATTACAAGGAGCCTGAAGGTTTCCATCCCTTGTTCTGACTTTGTACCAGGACTGACGGACGAACGACAGGAAACGGCAAAACATCTTTGTTCAAATAAACTAAAACTGTAACACTGAGGTGAATAAGCTCAACATGCTTTACTCCGTTTCTGTATTTCCTCTTTTATTTTATGTTTTTGTCTCAGATACCAGCTGCAGGTCTCTCCCTGACTGCAGTGGACGTGGGGCTCTTATCAGCTCTCCAGCCGAGTCAAATAACGCTCTCCTTGTTCCTGTCCACCCCTGACGGCGACACCGTAACAGGCACCGGCGTCATCCTCCCCTACTCGAGCACTGGTAACCCTCGAAGGCTCCTCGAGAGCGCACAATCACGCTTCTTCCTCTGAAATGAGGAAGTTGAGCACTGTCAGTCATGAAATGAGGTTTGCAAAAACCAAATCAGAGAAAGTTTAATCTCAAACTTAGAAGCAAGCAAGGTTTTGATTAGAGGGAACCCGTGCAGACCACACGTGTCCTATCCTGGTCCTGGAGGACCACTGTCCTGCACGTTTAGATGCTTCTCTGCTGCAACACCTGATGTGCATCTATCAATGAACAGACTTCTGGAGAACATGAAGGTGTTGGAGCAGGGAGACGAGTAAAACATGGAGGATGGTGGCCCTCAAAACCAGGATTAGACCCCCGGGAGCAGCTCCATACTGGTCTTTGATCCAGTCCTGGTCTTACATCGTCTGTGTTTTTCAGATCCGGTCCCTGGAGCCTGTAACATCGAGTTTAACCTAGACGTGGATCCAAACGTCTACATCCACTACAACCTCTATGAGACCACCATCCGCTTTGCACCGGCTAACTTAGGATCAGAGAGGTAGAGTTCTGTTTACTTCCTGCTCCGCCTCGAAAACTGAAACTTGTTTTTTTTTTTTTTTTTTGTATTTAACAGCCGCACCTTCTCCCACTCTGCTCTGCACAAGTTGGATTTCTCTGACATGAATCAGACGCCTTCTCTCGGTTCTGGACATCCCAAAGAGCGCGCAAATAAAATGGCTCATTTAGTTTTCGCTTCATTCGTAACGCTCGTTTGATGTTTGGAAACACTCGTTTTCTAAATGCAGAAATTCTTCTTGCGTGTTTCACCAATAAACCAGTCACTGGTGGAGTTCTGCAGCCGGCCTGCTTCAGCCACAAGTTCAACCTCTGCAGTTTTTAACTCGTCTGACGGGACGAGAACTGCTGGAGATGGAAAGTCAGCTTCATGGGCTTTAGCTGTCGTGTGTAACTCTCTGGCTTCCTTAAAAACCTGAACTGTTTCCTGCAGAGTGAACGCTTGTTGCTGGATGATTCTGCTGAAAGCTGCTGAACGAGCTGAATCTTAGCTAAATGATACTGCTGAAAGCTGCTGAACGAGCTGAAGCTTAGCTAAATGATTCTGCTGAAAGCTGCTGAACGAGCTGAAGCTTAGCTAAATGATTCTGCTGAAAGCTGCTGAATGAGCAGAAGCTTAGCTAAAAGATTCTGCTGAAAGCTGCTGAATGAGCAGAAGCTTAGCTAAAAGATTCTGCTGAAAGCTGCTGAACGAGCTGAAGCTTAGCTAATGATTCTGCTGAAAGCTGCTGAACGAGCTGAAGCTTAGCTAAATG